GAAGTAGTTCTCACAATACGATTTGTTAATGCGCGGTAAAGCGGCCTTACAATCAGATGAGCGTCAATCCACAATTGATGCCGTCTGATTTTTCTGAACAACCAATCAGAATCTAGTATTTTCTTGATTCATGGTAGAATGTCGAGGAAATGATTTGTAGATGTTGCAATAAGTTTTTAGACCCGTGGAATGGCGCTGCCGATCGAATCTAGCCCTACATAGGTGCTGTCAACGTGGCTGGAATTAATAAACGAATTTAATAGGTGAGTTTTCGCTGTCTTGGGTGATCCATGATTTTGGCTTGGAATTGCGGAGGTAGCTGTTTTCGGTGAGTCGTGGCGTATAACTTTTGAAATAATGATCCGATTGTGACCATTTATAGCTCATTTTGTGGGGAAATCATCTCGCTTTTGATCCGTAGGCCTCAACGGGGCCTTAAAAATAGTTTACGTTGTGAAATCCAACTTAGATTGAGGAGGGGGTGGTTCCGCCGTTACATCCCTCTCCGTTTATATAGTACTAGGGTAGGGTCTATGTACCTATATGTCTTTCTAACGCTGTTTCTAAGCTTGACACGCCCCTGTGTTTTAAATATAGGCAATTATCCTAATTAAAGTACATGGCAATTTCAATGATGTTTTCATTTTTGAAATGTTATATGCTTGTTCTATCAAATTATAAAAGTTATTTTGGGGAGTTTAGAATTTCATTTCAGACCAAATTAATTGGTAAAAGTACAGAGTGGTGCTTAATTTATGCACAGATGTACTGTATATATTTCTGCTCTTAAAACCTTGCGTTTATAGTAAATCCGAAATTGGCATATTATACGATCAAAATTTATATATTAAGTTTAGATTTGTTTTGGTCACAATACGTTTTGCACAATATATTTCCAACAAGAATTTTGCAAAATAAGATCTATTGACTTACCTTCAGTTTGTGTAATACTAGTAAACCCCACGAGACTGTAGAATGGGACATGTTATGATGCCATTTGGGAAAACATCAAATGTGCGAAAAAGGCGTAATTAAAACAACGCTGTGTATGTAAGGATTTTAAAGGTAAAAAAATATTTCTTTCAAACGTACCGTGAGAAGTTTTGCGTTTGTTTGGACAAAACAAGAAAGAAATCGCCAGGTACCTAAATATTACAAATGTGTATATTTCCATGTATGGTAACCTATTCTGATCAACTAAGCGTACACTCTAGCAGTTAAGGTCATTTCTGTTTTCGAATCTCTATATACAGGTTACTTTGTCTAAACAACATGTGAAACTTATTCTCAGTGTTCCGAAGTGGCTGAAGCAATGCAACATACACCTATTTACCTTATTACCAGTTTGCATACAGGGTACATGCATGTTTCAAACGATCTGGGACACAATGAAAGTATGGGTGAATATTTTCATCAGTTTTCCGGGACAAACCAAGGACAACAGTAACAGTCTTTCTGTAAGAAAATAGTTTTTTATTTCATGCGTAATTCATATGTTATGTTAAACCAGAACATAAATGAGATGGATGTTGGTACAAACATTCCCGGGAAATGTTTTCTGAGGTCGCAAAGTTTTTGTAAAGCAGCTTACGAAATAAATGCGTAAAACCCGCATGTTGTGCCATTGCACGTGACGCAGGGGTCCGTGCTGTTTACGTGGAGAGATCAAGAGAAGTGTATTTCTCACGTGTTATTTGCATGTAAATACATAGGTATGACGACAAACACAGTGTAGGTTACATACTGGCAATGGATAACAGGCACGTGAAGCTGGCCCGTCACCACACGTGCATGTTTGGGACATGTTCTCATCAAGTGAAGAAACCAATATTGACGGTGCTGTTCCATGGTGTTGACAGTTGAACACGTCAACGGGAAAATCACTATCGTCAAACCGATCCTAATAGTTCCCACGCTTCCATCTGTAGCGGAATAAACATGTTGGTTGTAGCATGCTGGAGCAGCTGATGCCGGGCTACTGGATGGATAGGAAGGCGGAGGGAGGAGAAGCTGATCGAGTGCTGTAGGGCATATACTGGTGGTCAGAAACAACGAAGGAGTGCAGGGTATAGCTGTCTCACTAGTAAGCCTAGGACCTGGATTCGTCCTGCTGCCTGGAGTATTAGCTCGAGGCGACCTTAGTCTGTTATTTCAATATGCAATGTCCGCAATTTTGGTATGGTGTCATAGTGTATTCTCTTGTTCCACCTAAACGACAATTACTAGGCCACATGAGTCTTGTTGTTTATGTTGAACAGTGGGAGAAGTCGCCTTATCTCATATTCGTATCATGTTACTCAATAAGCCAATCACGTTTTTCACCAGCATGATTTATTTTAGTATGCATAATATGTTTACAGGCAACTGCCCCTTATAACAAAATTGTAGCGCGAAGTTTTACACCATGACTGAGAGGGGAAATACTTCACAACGTGTTCAATTATTAATGCCTATGTTAGTTTTGTAAACTGCAGCCTGAGTTATGATCGTGTTTAACTGTCGTAACCTATGTCTCAGTATGTCCCGCTGTCGTAAGAGATTTTCAATGCAATAGCTGACTCTCAAAAGCGCCCGTACACCTATACACAAAGAACTTAGTTAAGCACCCCCTGACATATCTCACGATTGAAAGATCCCGATCTTAACCCTTTGGAGCATATCTGAGAGATGATTGGTCGTCGTGTACAGAACATGGCCCAATTGGAAGCTGCTTTACACGATGAATAGCGTAGACTGCCCCTTCAGAGGATCAGGAGGCTGACAGGGGGTATGAGGAGGAGAGTGCTGGCTGCCATACAGTCACATGGAGGTTACACTGGGTATTGACCTTGAATCGTGTAAGACACGCTAAATGACACTTTGAACCACCACATTCACCAATGAATTCAGTATTAAACATTCCAGGGCCATACTTGTACAGACATGGTTTTGTATGAATATCAGTAGGTTTTGGGTGTTTTTTTAAAAGATCAATTATCATCATAAAATCAACGTGGACTCCTATCAGTTTGTCGTCAAAGGATCCTACGGGTCAGAAAAACTCATGTTTTTCCATCGTGGTCACCACGAGAAGTTTTATGTAGGTGTTGAAAACCTGCAAGACAACACGGGGTGCTTAATTACGTTCTTTGTGTATACGGGACATTCTTCTATTTCGGCCGCCATACAGCTGGAATATTGCTGAGGGCGGCGTAAAACTAAACTCACTCACTCTTCTATTTCGGCCGCCATACAGCTGGAATATTGCTGAGTGCGGCGTTAAACTAAACTCACTCACTCTTCTATTTCGCTGACGATAGATATACTGGCTGAAATGAACGACACGACCGTCGCATTATTTGTTATATTAATTATTCTATCGGGCATATAGCGTGGATTGTAAAACTCGCAGTTGATTCTGCTATGAGTTTGATTCCTTGATACGGAGCTGTGCAACCTTGTAATAAAACCCTGTTGTTAGGGACTGTGCGTGTCGCTCTGGGGGGTCTCGGCTGTTTAACAACTCATATTGCAGTTATTGAGTTATTGCTGCATGTTGACGTGGTCGTGATACCGTGTACAAGACTTGTTCGCCGAAGGTGGCGGAGTAGTTACAAATCAGCGTCGAAAGAAGATATCATCTGTGTACTCAACGTCCATGAAAGTCGTCGTGTACATCGGCACTCTACACCTTTCGCAGTCACAGGAGTCCACTCGGCGGTAGTACACGGGGAGGCTGCTTCCAACTGATACGGGCTCCAGCACCACCTGTACCGTTTAAACAATGCTATATTCAGTAGCAGCATACAGACACGGACAAACAGGCTCTGCCTGTAACAGTTGTCATATATAACTAAACCACGCCCACATGTAGAAACACCGTCATCCCCTAATATGTAATCAATATTGACAGACAACATCGCAGCCGCAGCGGGACATGTAACTAACCTTTCGAGACACGTGGAAACATCGCCACCTGTATGAGGAAACCAACGCAATATCTCATCAAATCATGCAGACACGTGGAAACATCGCCACCTGTATCAGGAAACCAACGTAATATGTCATCAAACTATGCAGACACGTGGAAACATCGCCACCTGTGTCAGGAAAACAACATAACATGTCAAACTATCACGTATGGAAAACAACATAACATGTCATCAAAACTATGCAGACACGTGGAAACATCGCCACCTGTATCAGGAAACCAACATAACATGTCATCAAACTATGCAGACACGTGGAAACATCGCCGACTGTATCTGGAAAACAACATAACATGTCATCAAACTATGCAGACACGTGGAAACATCGCCACCTGTTTCAGGAAAACAACATAACATGTCATCAAACAATGCAGACACGTGGAAACATCGCCGACTGTATGATAAAACAACATAACATGTCATCAAACTATGCAGACACGTGGAAACATCGCCACCTGTATCAGAAAAACAACATAATATGTCATCAAACTATGCAGACACGTGGAAACATCGCCACCTGTATCAGGAAAACAACATAACATGTCATCAAACTATGCAGACACGTGGAAACATCGCCACCTGTATCAGGAAAACAACATAATATGTCATCAAACTATGCAGACACGTGTCACAGATCAGGTCAAGTGTGTTGAAATACTGACCATCTGGTGTGAACTGGTGACGGTACAGCAGCAGGAGTCCTCGTAGCGTTTAATGTAGGTCTTGTTATTGGTCACTCCAACTGAGATACGGGGCAAGATGGTGGCACTGGTTGTCTCTCTGCAGGCGTTGGTGTGGACTGCCCGCGTCCTGTACCCCTCGATGTTGATCTCTGTGACCTCCGCCACCCTCACACAGCGTCCCTCAATATGCACCAGGACTACCAGGGCTGAAGCCAGGCTGACCAGGTAGCTGTAGGTTGTGGTCATAGTGAACAGGAGGATGAGGCTGCAATAGAGGACGTCATGTCTACACTGGTTGTTTTGTCTGCTTTAAGTTAATCTATAGTTACGATCTGGACGAGCTACATTGATGTCATCTTTCGTCCTGTTTCAACACATGCAAACAGGTTCAGCAGAGGTGAAGGCTGCATGACTGTCAAATGTCTTTAGGTCACAGTTCTTACAGTCAATGTCTCTATTTCATTGTTCTTAGGTTTAGTGTATTGAGGTCACATCTCGTTAGTTGACATTAGTGTCCACAGGTCACAGCCGCTCAGTGTCCACAGGTCACAGCAGCTCAGTGTCCACAGGTCACAGCCGTTCAGTGTCCACAGGTCACAGCCGCTCAGTGTCCACAGGTCACAGCCGTTCAGTGTCCACAGGTCACAGCCGTTCAGTGTCCACAGGTCACAGCCGCTCAGTGTCCACAGGTCACAGCCGTTCAGTGTCCACAGGTCACAGCCGCTCAGTGTCCACAGGTCACAGCCGTTCAGTGGCCACAGGTCACAGCCGCTCAGTGTCCACAGGTCACAGCCGCTCAGTGTCCACATATCACAGCCGCTCAGTGTCCACAGGTCACAGCCGTTCAGCGGCCACAGGTCACAGCCGCTCAGTGTCCACAGGTCACAGCCGCTCAGTGTCCACAGGTCACAGCCGTTCAGTGTCCACAGGTCACAGCCGTTCAGTGGCCACAGGTCACAGCCGCTCAGTGTCCACAGGTCACAGCCGCTCAGTGTCCACATATCACAGCCGCTCAGTGTCCACAGGTCACAGCCGTTCAGCGGCCACAGGTCACAGCCGCTCAGTGTCCACAGGTCACAGCCGCTCAGTGTCCACAGGTCACAGCCGTTCAGTGTCCACAGGTCACAGCCGTTCAGTGTCCACAGGTCACAGCCGTTCAGTGTCCACAGGTCACAGCCGCTCAGTGTCCACAGGTCACAGCCGCTCAGTGTCCACAAGTCACAGCCGCTCAGTGTCCACAGGTCACAGCCGTTCAGTGTATTTATGTTAGACCTCTCTTTTATTAATCTCTTTTATACGTCACAGGTTCTAGATTCAATGGCACAGCTCACAAACGTCTATGTTACATTTGTTTGGAACCTTGCTTTCAGAACACAACTGTTAAAGTAAACGTCTTTTGGTCAACTGTGTTATGGTAAATGTCTACAGATAATGGTTCCTACCGTCAATGTCTTTCAATCACAACAGTTATGGTCAATGCATATAGGGCACATCTATTAGGGTCATTTTTTGCTGTGTCACAGCTGTTAGGGTCAATGTCGTTGTGTCAAAGCTGTTAGGGTCAATGTCGTTGTGTCACAGCTGTTAGGGTCAATGTCGTTGTGTCACAGCTGTTAGGGATTTCAACTGATATTCCAATTACTGATATACTCTGCAGACAACCATGGCTTCAAATCATTTGCCAGTATATGGTGAGTGGGCGATTCAAACATTCTATCCATAGGTGCTATCCAAAGTTACTATTTGGTTGAAATTACACAACATCGAATATTTTTAGAAAGAGATTTTGCCAAAAACGGATCCAGACCCAATTATTTCTGTGTTGTAAATGCCATACATTAGCATTAGGAATTTGCTCGCGTATTACAATGTGTGTCCCCATATAATACATGTAGAAGGGAAATACTGTTTGATAATAGTCTATCGTTAACAAGCCAATGAAGTGGACATTCTTCCACATCACGCTTAAAGTTGATATAACTAGTTTATTATTAGTTTGCACTAATCAAGTCTTTCTATGTCCTCGTATCAATACTCTTCATAATCTAGAAAATATAACCTGGGGTAGTTAAGATGTGACAAATTAGAGTTTCAACCTTACCAATAAGGCCATGGTCAAAGTGCTTGCGTCATTCCTCCCACCAGCTGTGAACGACTTCTGTTAAAGGTCACCCTTTCTCCACAATTCCGACACCACGACCTTCTCCCAGTCTACCATGCAAATGTACCTATCTGAGAGGACGAGATACCTGTGTGGCGCACGACGGAAATAAACCCAGAGTGGGAGGTCATATGAGAGTTATAGTGTTATTGTCTTGCTATCGTGCAAACTTCAGCAGTCGCGCGGATATGTTACTTCACGACACAGTTAGTGTTACTACTGAACACTTAATGAAGATGGGGATGGAACAGTGAAGCGTGAAGCCCCGTTTTGACTAACACTGAGTCATATATGGAGAAATTTCCGTCTATTCTGGAACAGAGAAGGCGTAAGTTTTTTTACCTATTGGTTAAAGCTAACTGTTAACTGGTCATAATCAGGTCGAATCTAGGTTTTAGCCCCAGTGGATTCTTACCCAGTTTGGAGATGACTACTTGGCCAAACGAACCACATAAAAATAAGTAGGCATACATTGCCAGTATATTCAATGGGTTGTCAATATGTTGTTCTTAAACGTTAAATGGCGATGACCGTACGAGGGGCTATCAAAAGTTTTGAGCCTAAAATACTTCTGATATGTGCATGATAGTAATAACTGTGTGATACTGAATAATAGTTGATATCATTTACATAAACCTAATACTGACTTGCACATGTCGCTAGTTTCCGGTCACATGACATCTCAGTGATGGATGATAACTTCTTGTTTATTGCATAGTGCGACATCGGTATCAACCTTAAGTGACTACAACCAAATGGTGAGAAGTATATATGCATGGTATATTATAACAGCAGATTAACATTAACAACAGCAGGTAATTGAAGAACAAGTGGTACATAATTGGAAGAGGCCAGTAGGGGGACTAAAAACAACAAATAGCACTGGTGATGAAGCCAATAGTGAGTAGGTATTGTTTTAGGCCGCCAATATTCCAGCAACATCACGGCGGGGGACACTAGAAATAGGCTTCACACATTGTACCCACGTGGGGAATCGAAACCGGGCCTTCGGCTTGACGAGCGAACGCTTTAACCACTAGGCTACCCCACCACACCAATGAAGCCAATAAACAAGGGGGACTAAGTAGTAATAACAAGCTGATAGGGTGTTTTGATAGAGTCTATAGTTTGATTAATTCTTTATAGGTATGTCGTGTCCTTGGTCTCTGTTGATCAAAGGCGGATTTCGATGGCTTCCAAAAGTTTTCTTTTTGTGAAGTCCTGATTTTGGGTTCATAGGACTTCGAATTTGTCAAACGTGATATGATGGGTAGGGAAATTTTGTTGGTGATCTGAGAGGGCTTGATTTGCTGTCTGCCTCGGCTGATGAATGTTTCATTTCTATATGAGCGTAAGCGTGGCATGAAGTAACACACAGATACTAAGTTTAAGTTCTACACCAGGATCCAATCCAGCCTACAATTGTGATTTCAAAGATAGCTTTGGTCTCAGCAGTGAAAATGGAACTATTGTATTAACAACAGAACCATTCCAAAATCTTCATCGTTTTTACAGACTCATTATCTTGCCTTCAAGCACTTCAAAATGTTACTTCAAGTCACCCTATCATCCTAGACATTTCAGAACTTTACAACGATCTTTCTACTGGCCAATTTGACATCAAACCCACTATCAAAAGTTATACTCGGGACCAACCTTCATGAATTGAAGCCAACATTTGGTTATACCTACGTGGGTTGTCAGTCAAGAGGAGATGAGGTAATTTTACGACGATGTCGTATTGGCCACATTCGGTTTACTCATAACTATCTGCTGAAAACTGATGGCGATGGATCCCCCATGTGTGCCTCTTGCGGGGAAGTGTTCTCCATCAAGCATATTCTGCTTGACTGTGCGGACTTTTCGACGGCAAGGGACTCACATTATGACGCGGCAAACCTGAAAGATCTCTTCTCACGCGTAAGCGGGCATCTCATTGTTAACTACCTGATGAAAGTTGACCTGTATCATAAATTGTAGTTATGTAATGTGAATAACGAACTGCTTACGTTCGAATTTGGTGCTATAACAATGTAAATAATATATATGCTTTTGAATAACAACTCATTTGGACTTTGAACTTAAAACGTTTATTAATTCACACTTGATCCCGTCACTATATGGCTGGAATAATGCCGATGTGACGTAAAACCCAACTCAACCCAACTCAACCTACACCAGGATCACAATGTCAGACACAGAGTTATGTCGGAGATTAAAATGTTGACACAAATAATTAAATAGTTGCATTTACTAACTTCCGGCAGCTTGTCCTGGCAAGCCAAAACCTTCTTTTGATGACACTAAACTATCTTATCGTTAGTGTTTCTAAGTACTAACACATCTGTTTCCAGTTCCTACATCTGGAGTTCAGGTATGGGGTTAACACCAGCCAAGAAGAACAGATTACCAATGATGCATCTGTTTCGTAAAATATACCGTTACTCATGATGCATCTCTATAGCGAGTGAGTGAGTGAGTGAGTGAGTATGGTTTTACGCCGCTTTTAGTAATATTCCAGCAATATCAAGGCGGGGGACACCAGAAATGGGCTTCACACATTGTATCCATGTGGGGAATCGAACCCGGGTCTTCAGCGTGAGGAGCGGACGCCTTAACCACTGGGATACCCCACCGCCCGTATCGTAGAAGAAACCTTTACTAACGAGGCATCTGTATCGTAGAAGAAACCATTACTAACGATGCATCTGTATCGTACAAGACCACCGATGATAACAAAGCATCATCCATTTATAATATAGATATCGCTTGTTATGTACTGGCCACTTAAAACGGTTGGTTATGGGAAAACTCTGAAACGATTCGTCCACCTTTGCAGGATCGATTCAGTGTGTACAGGACACCGGAAACTTATTTCATTGTTGTAAGCAGATAATTTTCTACATGTTATTGACAATACATATTTCATGAGTGTTTTCTTAATATTTTTTCCTGAAGTAACGTCATTGGCGGATACAGAGGGGTGGGGTGTCAGGGGGTTCGAACCCCCTCCTTTCAAATTCCTGGATCCGCCCGTGAACGTTTATCCAGATTGTTTCAATGTACTGCTAGACAGTTCAGTTTACAAAAAGTAAATGCCGTACTGTTCACAATGAGTTCTTGTTATTACAACAGATGCATGGGCAGGTATTTTCCCACCGAGATGAACCTGATGAAGCCGAGTAAAGGTTTGAGAAACACGTGTATTCACAGATCTCTTTGCAGCTTGATCGTTCAACGTACCGTGACACGCCACTTGTTTAGACATTGAACAACGAGACAAGAAACACTTTACTTTCACTCCTTCTCATTGTGTTACTTATGGATCATTCCTTCTGGAGCCGTGTAATATAATGAATATGCACAAGGAGTATCACATTTTCGCTGACCAACGCTTCTCCGAGTTACTGCAACAATCAAATTGAAGGAAGCGCCATAAAATGATTATACAGCGGCATAACGTTAGACTCTCTGTATCAAACATGGGGAGCTTAGTATGTGTTGTTGTAAACGTACGATATACCATCTGTTCACACTTAGTGCCTATAGTCAGTCAACACTGGGTTTCACACTCAGGTCCTAGGCACGTAATTCGCCTGAGTGTGTTAGCATCATTACTATGAGAGCCAGGTATCTCTGGGCTATCAAAGGAAAAAAGCACTGTGGTATAAAAAAGACTGGTTGGACGAAACGTTGTTTCTTGCAAATCACATATCAAGTTACAATGGCAACATATTGATCCTAATCAACGCCCTATGATACCCCCTGGGAAAGGGAAGAGATGCTCATCACAACATTGGCTCAGTATTCTTTGTTGTTATGGATGATACCCTATACCATTGTTGCATAGAACCAGGGAAGAGATGCTCATCACAACATTGGCTCAGTATTCTTTGTTGTTATGGATGATACCCTATACCATTGTTGCATAGAACCAGGGGAGAGTTGGAGGAGAGATGCTCATCACAACATTGGCTCAGTATTCTTTGTTGTTATGGATGATACCCTATACCATTGTTGCATAGAACCAGAGGAGAGATGCTCATCATCACAACACATTGGCTCAGTATTCTTTGTTGTTATGGATGATACCCATACCATTGTTGCATAGAACCAGAGGAGAGATGCTCATCACAACATTGGCTCAGTATTCTTTGTTGTTATGGATGATACCCTATACCATTGTTGCATAGAACCAGGGAGAGATGCTCATCACAACATTGGCTCAGTATTCTTTGTTGTTATGGATGATACCCTATACCATTGTTGCATAGAACCAGAGGAGAGATGCTCATCACAACATTGGCTCAGTATTCTTTGTTGTTATGGATGATACCCTATACCATTGTTGCATAGAACCAGGGGAGAGATGTATCAAGGGAAGATGGCGTGGGTGTCTGACCGAGTAATCATGGAATGTCCAAGCAAAGCTACTGAGTCAGGGTTGTACCGGATCATCCTTGCACAAGGCCGCCTGCAGCTCATCAGACTAAGTCCGTCAAATCAACATGGCCATAAGGTCACCCATCTCACGCCATGTCACCCATCTCACGCCATGTCACGCCATGTCATGCCACGCTAGTGACTTTTACCCAGGACACATCAGGGACACAACAACAAGAAAATACATCTTTTAAAATCATTTTGTAAGATGTCAAAAGAATAGTTGAGAAGGAAATCGATTTGTGGTAGAAATGTGTTGACGATGTTGAGACAATTAAGGAATAATACTGTCGAGTTTGGATAAGGATGACGACACAGATGTTGTATTGACATCACGGTACATCAAAGTAGATGTTTCATCGACTTTTGCTAATTGGGCCATGAACCACCGACCTGAGCAAACCATGCGATAATGTCAGATATATTCTGTCGTGCACACAAGTAGCATGTTCTCTCTTTTTATCAACTTCATTTGTTAACCTTTTATATGTTTATCATTATTCACATGATAAATATGTTTTTACACATGGGTTGGTTAAAAAAAATACAATAACAGTAACCACTTACTACACTACATCTACACTAAATTCCAAATCTCCATTACTCTTTACTTGTTTCATATTTTGTACCTTTTTAATTCGGCCCCCATTCAAATTTCCCTTAACACTCAGTTTTTTTGGTTGTTGTTGTTGTTGTTGTTTTTTGGGTAGTACACCACCACTCTTTCAAAATTTCTATTTTTGGTTCCCCCTCATTTCTTTAGAAGTGTACTACCCCGTCGCCGAAATACCTTAGTTGTGAGTGCGACGTTAAATAAAGCAGATAACAACAAGTAGCATGTTGGTGTTGGCAGACTTTCAATCACCTTCTGTTACCCACCAATGACGGGAGCACGATCGCTGCCACCAAATTACATGATAGCAATGAAGGAAGATCTACAGTGTGTGATGATGAAAGCTGATTTTTTAATTAGAACAAGTGATACTTTCATCATATACGAACATTTTCAAGTATCGCGCTAAAGACGGGTGCCATTTGTGGATGCTAGGGAGTAATCCATGAGGTGATTCTCCTTCTTATTATAAGTATCATTACTGGCTTCTCTTGTACGGAGGTTTCACACAATTTCAAGCTTTAATCAAGTATTATTTTGGAGGCCTTTGAAGAATTGTCTATACCGTGGCCAATGTTCTTGTGATAATATATGATCCTACAGCAAAGCAGCAATCGTATAATTATCATTATTTTGCTAAAGCAATGTTTGTTACAATTCAAGTGTAGTTTCAGTTTGTGGGAATACTTGTTGTACATCCAACTATTGTAAACATGGATGCTACCTTGCTGGTAAATACACAGTGAACCCGACTCCGCGGTTAAACAGCATTCACCGGCCACCAGTCAACGTGAAACCCAAGGTTTTAATGCATGGGCCACTTAATTAATGAGTGTAGTATTCCAGCACCACAAACACCTTGCACATTATCCCTCACAGCAGACCTGGTTCGAATTTGTTCATAACGCAGAGGAGGCCGCCAATATTCTCGTGTGCCACGGGCATGTGCAACAATACCCAACGCAATGTTACTATTGAGAAAACTCAACACAGTACACTAGCCTAAATTCATCTTCAAGGTACAGTACAACTAGAAATTATTGAGAATTTAAAGATTGTTAGTTTGTTTTTTTCACTCATTACTCACGTTTTAAATGTCAATATTAGCAGAACATAACTCCAGATTCAAAGACAGGTGAACAGTTAGTATTTTGTCAAGTCACCATGGGCAGCAATGCAGGCTTCAATGCGCCGGGGCATACTACTGATCAAAGAAGTTAGAAAGTCGTGGTCCCATGCTGTCCCCAAACATTTTGTATTGGATTTAGGTCAGGGCTATAGCTTGGCCAATCTAATAATGTCATATTTTGGGTCCGAAACCAGGCCTGTGAATGCTTTGAACGATGTTTTGGGTCGTTGTCCTGCTGGAAAATCAAAAATGTTCCATAGAACACTTGAGCAGATGGAAGTAAATGTCCCTCGAGAATATCTGTGTACCGCTCACTGTTCATATTCCCTTCAAATACTCAGAGGGGCGTTACCACTAACACAGATATGCCACCCCACACGTTAAATTTCGGACTGTACTTTGGGCGCTGATACCAAAGTTTTTCAGTTTGTTTGGTCCAGAATTTCAATGTATTAGGAAACAGCCACACAGAACTTTCATCTGAGAAAATCACATTGTCCCAGTTAAATTTCTATGCTGTAAGCACCAGTTCAACCTTCGCTCCTTTTGTTCAGGTTTCATGATCGGTGATGGAATTCCTCGACTTTTCTGCCAACCCATTGCATGCAGCTCAGTTCTAATTGTCTCCTTACAGACAGCCACAGTTCCTCTATCAATCATAGCCAGCCTTCAGTTTTCTAAACTCCTTCGTTTGTTTTTAGAAACAAGAATACCAAGCCGCCTCCTGTCACCGAAAGTCAATTTTCTGGGCCTACCTGCGCCTCCCTGGTGCTCAATGCCATATCCATTTGCAATATTTTTCAAAACACGATAAACAGTGGACAAAGGGATGCCTGTTCTACTTGAAATCACTTTAGCTGATCTGATGTCCTTGTTATAATACTCTAAAATCAACTTCCTCTTCTCTAAATCATCCATACCGAGGATAACTGAAAATGTCGTCTGCTAGCAAGTAAACAAAGGGGGCTAACTCTTCACAAACTAATGAAAAAGGATTAACGGAGTTGTCTCTCCTGAATGAAACCAGGCACTTGATAGCTGGTCAAGGTTGTTTATACTAAAAATCCAATTAAACATATTCCTAAAATTCTCAATAATTTATGGTCATACTATATATCTTCACATTAACCTATTAATATTCAGTACGCATGCGTTCTAACTGACTGACTGACTGACAGACTCACTCACTCACTCACTCACTGTTCCCCCCAATGATTTGGAGAGTACATGCAATGTCGTTACATTACATTACTTGTCAATGGCAATGACAATAGATATATACATATCACAGCAGTTACCTCGAGTCTCAGATAGGTGTCAAGGATAAGATTATCAAACAGACACTCACTCTAAACATACAGTTATATTACACACTATGTTCGGGGACCCGAAGATCATGGGTCATCAGTTGATAGTTCTGATGGATGCACAATCCACTACTAATTGCTTGATCTGCCTTTTCGACGTTCATCAGTAAATAATAAAGCATGCAACTTTATGGATAGGAACTTATTGTTTATTGCACAGAGCGAGAAATATGTCAGGATTAATATTCTCTTAATAGATATTGAGAAGGCGTTCGATACAGTATCTAAAAATTTCTTAAATATCATTATAGCGAAATTTGGTTTTGGTCCTGAAATTATTTGTTGGATAAATATACTGACATATGAAACATCATCCTGTGTAATCTAACGTGGGGCATTATCTGAATTTTTCGTAAATGACCGAGAATGCAGGCAAGGCGATCCTCTGTCATAGTACCTCTATATATTTGCCGCTGAAATACTTGGTTGTATGATTAGAAGTAATAAGAACATAAAAGGCATTGCTATTGACAATAATGAGTATAAGGTAAATTAATATGCAGATGATACTGAATTATTTCTTGATGGGAGTGAACAAAGCTTAAAGGCTACTATTGATGAGATTAATACTTTTTATAAAATGTCAGGATTTAAACTAAACATTGATAAGGCCAAAGCTATATGGATTGGCTCAAAGAGAAATAGTATTGATATATTTTGCAAAGACATTAAAATAGAATGGCAAAATGGTGTGTTTGAAGTCTTGGGAGTTAAATGGTGAGGTGAAATTGGGTTTAACGTCGTGCTTAAGAATATTTCGCTCATATGACGACGTGCATGCGTGTGAGTGTGTATGTGCTGCTGCTTGTACTAGCCCAGACTGAAGCTGGTTTTATAGTGCTAGCCCACTGAGATACCACGCCGCAGTGAAGCATAAATACCCCACTCAGACACATTATACTGACTCCGAGCCGACCAGTCCTTGTTCTACCCATAAATGCCGAGCGCCAGACAGGGACCAACAAGTACCATATTTTAACGTCTTTTGGTATGACGCGGTCGGGGATCGAACCCGCGACCTTCCGCTCTCCTGGGAATTAAATTCCACACAGATCTTAACAATTTGTGGGTAATTAATGCCAGAAAAGGACTAGAGGAAATAAACAGACTGCTTGCACAATGGAGGAAAAACAATTGACATCTGATTGGCAAAATAACTGTCATAAAATCTTTGGCTCTGTCAAAACTTGTTCAAATATTCAATACTTTGCCTAATCCTCCAAAGGATTTCATTACTTCATTGAAGAATATCTTCCTCAAATTCATATGGAAACCTGATAAAATCAAAAGGAACAATTTTGAAAAGGATATACAAAGATGGTGGATTAAGGATGATTGACACTGCAACTTTTTGTGAAGCATTGAAACTTGCCAATCTGAGATCATATTGTAGAAAAACAACCATTGAAAACCCCTGTAATATTCCTTTTGATGTCATTTTACAATTTTACAATCTGGTGCAAATGTTGATCAAGTCACTCACATCGATAACCCTTATTGGAAGGATGTTTTGAAAGTATGGAAGAAATATTGTAATAAAAGACATGTGAATTCTGGAGATATTTATGAAATCTTAGCCAAACCACTATGGTTTAACCGTAATTGCGAAAACCCAACATATTACAATAAAACTGGGCAAGTAAGGGAATTCTTACAATTAAGGATCTATGTGACAAAACTGGTTTCCTATCGTTTGACAAGTTGAAGGCAATTTATGGTATTAAAGGCAGATATTTGGACTATTTGCATGTTTTGAATATACTACCCGATTCCGGGAAATATACCATTAGACACTCTAGAAATATCCCAGTTAATAACTTACTCCTAACTGAATGCCATTTGAATTTACTGAAACCATGCACAGGCTCTAGAATTTTTTTATGATGCTTTGATTTTTAATGAAGAGTTACCTAAAGTGTGTCTTAAATGGCAAGCATCTGTTGCTAATGATACTTTTGATTGGAATAGGATTTTTATATGACGTACAGATATGGTTTGAAAGATGTTTGATAACCAATACAAGTTTTTAC